AAACGATATGTATGTATACTAAGCAATATATTCATGCCTCGAACAGATTATAGAACGCCCTCTCTCCACATCCCCCACCCATTCCCAATCTCTGACTTTCTTTCTACCGAATTCTCCTTTTCTATGTATATCTGCCTCTGATATTAATAAGTAGGCAATATGAGTAGCAATATATTAGCGTGACTGAATGCATACATGTACCACGTGTTTGGTATTTCCCTGTGTATGACAGAAATACCAGAAGCTACAGAATGAACAAGAGGAGGAATTTACAGCACGACAAGTAATGACGTTAGATTATTAGAGAATCACGAACAGTGAATAGTGTATCGCCAGTTCCGTCCTGCATGAAAAAAGATTTACTGCATGGTATACATACGTAAACTGCATGTTCACACATTGTGTTGCATTGGACTTTGTCACTAATTTTGAACTCCAGTTGTAGCTCTTTATCATTTCCTTCCCCGTTATATATCCAGTTTTATCTATAATGTACACTGTTTTTTGTGCGAATAGTTTCTATTTTCATTAGGATGACTGCAGCAGTTGATACATAAACACAGAGATTAGTGAGTCTGACAATGTTTTGAATACATCGGCGAACTGTATCTCTCTTTTAAAATGCCTCCTAATATCGCTTGATAAGCATACCGTGAATTTAAACGATGGTGATGAAAGGACTACAACAACCTCTATAGTCTCCTGTTGTCCTGTTGTGAAAGTTTCTACAAGAGGGACAATTAAGATTCTAACGACTTGGCCTATATACTTGAAACCTACTTTATTATCACACGAATATTGATGTATTTTTGTGGTACAGATTCTATGAGAGAGATTATTCATCTACTACGATAAGACTCTTCAGAATGTAAATTGTTTATGTATAGGTTTGTTGACATACAAAGTAAAATGGAACAAATAAACATACTAGAGCGGCACAACACAGGTGTGTATACTGTTGTACAGCGTGACACACGTTCTTGTTATGATCGTAAGTGTGCTGCTACATATGTACACAACCTTAATTGTCTGTACGGAAGTGATTCACTTAAGAGTACACAGATCCTTATAAACAGGTCACCAAACCCCTACATTCGCTAGGTTATAATATATTACTTCCTGCTCTTCATTTCACAACAAGAAAGCCACTCGCCATGACAGACCGTATATTATGCGTTGTTTTTATGGGTTTCAGCTTTCTGACTTCATATGTTGGTAAGATTTATGTATATTCATTCATTTTTTAACTATCTATTAATAATTGAAAGAAATGGACATTCCCTTTCAGGTACAAGTAAAACATATCCTGTTGACAAATGTAAAGCTAGTGTATGGCTAGTGCAGTGTGTATCATCTTGAGGTTTTACCACAACATAATGTGTACAGTAATTACAGCCATACACGTTGACAGAAAATGTACTGGTTATCTCAAAGGCCTATGAGGTAAACAATGTATGACATTGATGTTAAATATTGTCAGAAGATAGTAAATCAGTAGAAAATACATGAATGTCATTCCACGATTTTTTTGCAGACATATTGTGTCATTTTGTAGAGGTACATGACTACATTTTAATGTACGTATTTTGAAAGGTATTACAACAGCTCCTACCGACAGTAAAATCGACCAATGAAAAACATGAAAACATTTAATCCGCGAAAATATGAATAAAGGTTATGGTTTAAACTACTAACCACATGTAAGTATTGATGTTTGTGTTGGAAATATAACAGGTCCGAGCTTTTTGAAAATTTGATATATTTATTTTGTTTGTGTTCAATACGCAAGGTATGAGAAATTTAGCCCCATATAAAACCGAAAATAAACAGGACAAGGAAAGGTAACTATTTATCCCAATTTATATGCCGACAGTCTGCGAGATATTGCCACCGAACTAAAGAAATATTGTCAACTAGAAATCCAATGTTACTCGTTATTTCCTCCTCTGTATATTGCATGTTAGCAAAATATTCTCAGAAATAGCTCAAAATCAAATAATTGAAACGCTGTTCGCCCTCTAAAACTGCAAAAAAGGATGCGGTTAGTACAGTTTAGTTGATTCAAGTTGATTTAGTTGAGTTAAATCAACAATATTGAGGAAATATTAGATACATAAATGACCAGTCATAAATGTAGGGTCTAAAACCTGTCAAAGTGTTGGAGCGTCGTTGTGTGATAAACTAGGGTTCGACTCTCTTCTTGTAGGAGACCACGTTACGCAGTTTACTAATTGTTTTCCAAAGTACTGTTTAGTTTGGGAAGTCCCCGGTGAAATAAGTGATTACTTCCGTCAAATTGAGCACCATTAGTGTGTATGGAAATATAATAAAATACAGTGAAACTTGACAGACGCCTAATGGAATCACTACTGTTCTTTAAAGATTTCAAACACAATTATCACTAAAAGTAAACCGTGTATGAGGTAACTCCATTTTCAGGTGATTCTAGTATATAGGTTTGCTAAACTAAAGATATTAAGAGTGATCAGAAGTACATTGTATCTAGTATATAACGACTGTAAAAAGACAATTAATCATCGCGATTATGTTTGTCATGTTAATCAAATGTATATTATTGAGTTGACATGCACTATCATACTTTATGTTTATATCAAGCTTTGAATCTGACGGAGAAAATTCTATGATGTATACATTCTCTATACTAGTAATAGGTCAGCAGTAAATATTTCCGAAAAAAACAAATTTGATTTAAAGATTATTTTCAAATAAGGCCCATACCATGGCGTTTCTATGTTTAATCGATTAAAAATGGTAGAAAAACGAATTAATTACTTTTAAGAACGTTCTGTGTCGTACATAACCTGAAGTCTCTATTGATGAATTCACAGAAGGAAGCTTACGTCTGATCGGGGGAGATGACCAATATGAAGGGAGAATCGAAATATACGACAATGGAGAATGGCAGACAATATGTCGTGACCATTGGGACCTGGATAATACCTTCGTCGCCTGTAGGCAGCTGGGATTAAAGTAAGAGTATATAATGATGCGGATTGTCATTGTGATGCAAAATACTCTTCCTGTTTTCTCGTACAAATAATCGTTATTAACTGTTGTAATATATAACACAAAACATTCATTTCCTAGTTTCAGGTGGGTAAAAATGTCTGTATACGCAATGCACAGTAATATTTTTAACCATGTCATCCCATCTAAATATACGAACTGTGTATTGATAAAACTTATGCATAAATGGTAAGAACTATAATTGATATAAAAACATATTTACATATAATGTCCTCTTACATGTACCTGTTCCTAACTAATTCACCTCATAATCACATAAGAATCATAATCCTTTCTTGATTTTTTATCAGTTTTACTAACTGGAGATAAACTATTTGTTTCGTCCTATCTTATTTATCTATATATTATTTATTTAGTTTAATTTGTTGATGTCAACATTATGATTTTTCTCATAGGTCTACCATATGACATAGTTGACAGATGAAACATAACAAATACAGTATATGAACGCGATGAATTAACTATGATGCGGTGAAAAATGTTATGTAAATTGCCATTTACACAATTAAGAGAATATGACACTTCGTAATTTGTATAATCTATTGAAAAAGTTCACCGTTCTAATATGTATGTTATCTTTGTTCGTATTAGTTCTACTACCAGACGTTTCAAATTGAAAATCAATCAAACTGAACAATTTAATTAAATTGATATGTTTTAATATAGGGACGGACTCTGGAGACGGGTTGAATCGTCAGAAGTAAGTGGCAACACATTTTGGTCAGTAGAAAAAGACTGCAATGGAAATGAAAGTGGTCTTCAAGCTTGTGATTCCAAAGAAGTTGACTCCAGTAGATGTACTCACTCAGGAAGGGACGAAGTTTACGTGACATGCCAACCACAGAAAGGTATCTGTATTTTACAGTATATTAGTTCAAAAGAAATATACCGATTATTTCTTATATAATTTTTAAAAGGATTGTTGCCAATAAACAAAGGGTGTGGCATGGCCTTTCTCAAGGTCATATCCACAAGGTAAAGGTAATTAGGCATCATTATCTTTGTACTGTTCACAATATCATGACCGACTTATATTTTGTATTTTTTTCCTAGATTTGTTTATAACTTTTTTATGAGTGTTGCCACTAGCGAATGGGGTTATCATGACCTTGTTTCTAGATCAAGACATATCACAATATCATGTCCAACTCATAACTATTGTATATCATAAAATCTTCGTTGTGTATAAACATTCGTGGTTTTCGTGGTTGCTATTGAACCACGAAAATAAATACAACGAATTTGAATGATGCACGTATCTACTGTTTGTTAATATAGAATATCCACGAAAGTTTGTACCACGAAACGATCTAAATAGCTTCAAACCACGAAGGAAAATACCCACAAATATTTCGTGTCATGATTATTTTAGGAATTTAAATCAAACTTTAGTGAATTGTTGCCCACAAATTAAGTGTTTGACGTGGCTTTTACTTAAGGTGATAGAGCATCAACACCTTGAAACTATTTGTAGGCCATACTTTTTGGATTTGTACCCCAATTTATAGGATTGTTGTCCAGAATCCACGAGTGTGTGTCATGATCATGATCTAAGTTACATGTACTATCCCAAAGGTCAAAGGCCAATGCTCATCAACGTCTTCAGATTGTGTCGTGCCAATAATATTTAGCTCGTTTTAGTAACATTCTTTACTTTGCTTTAGTTGTCTTTTTTTGTATTGCCATGGTTATCTTGCTATCTTTAAGGCCAGATTTCATATTAAGACATTTGCAAATAATTTTCCACAGCGTACATGACGCGTACAACATCTAGCATCAGCATTGGCAATACTGACCAATGATTTGTTATTGTTGGCTTAGAATATAAACAAGCAAACAGTTGTGTTTATTGTAACTAGGACTTCCTGCTTTGTAGATGGTGTTTTACGGCTACAAGATGGTCTGATTCAGAATGAAGGCCGCCTGGAAATATATCACGATGGAAAATGGGGAACAATATGTGACGATGAATGGGAAGATCACCCTCAAAATGCCCAAGTGGCATGTCGTCAGCTAGGTTATGAGTAAGTCATGCATCAATTCTATTGGTATGTTTTTCGAAAGCATCACTTAAGGCAAAGATCTTCAAAAATTGATAACATTTTAAATGTTCAAATATTTTGAAATATTCGCCTGAAATTTAGTATAGTCAGCCTTTCTTTTCTGAATAGGATGCTCAGTTACCCATATCAAACTGTCAAACTGTCATACAGATCCCTGCTCCGCTGCAAGCAAAACACCAGATAATTACACAGTGATTTTTATAATTACTGTAACTTCTCTTTAATAACGTTTTAGATATATACAAATGTATGTAGGTATCGCTTGTGTGTACGAGGGACCTACCGCTGTTCTGGTTGCTCAGTTGTTAGCAAAATATATTGTGATCGGAGGTCAATGGTTTGCATCCCGGTCTGACCCAATTTTTCGATTATTGTTTTATTGCTTTCAGAACACGTTCGTTGCATTTTGTCATCTTCATTATTTTTTATTAAGATCTGTGAGGTATAGATATCTTTTCAGACATTATTAACAAATTCACTATTACGTTTTTTTATAGTGGTACGGAAGTCCGTATATGCTATTTTCATGGACATTTATTGGAAATTGTAAACATTGCATGATCTTTAACATATCTTACAACAGAGGCGGTTTCTTCCGACAAGCTTATTCATCTGAAAGGTCTAGCAGTTCGGTACCCTTTTGGATGGACAATGTTAATTGCCGTGGCGTCGAAACTTTCATTCAGGATTGCCCCTTCAACGGCTGGGGTGATGAAAATTGCAGAAGCAGTGAGGAAATTTATCTTGAATGCGACGAACATGAAGGTAAAGTCTTGTTCATATTGTATACTATATGATATTCAATTAAGCATATCTAGATTTATTTTATGACCGTCGTTTTAGTTCACATGATTGCTCATGTGAGCTAATATAATTCCACACCTTTGGGATAAGACAGAAAAATCCAAACTCAAGAGATACGAATCTTAAATGTGTTTCATGAGGCTTTGCCGTCGGCCAGACCTTTAAGAATCTTATCTCGATAACAATCTCAACCTTCGGGATAAGTTTTTTTAAATGTCTAGCCCTGAGCAAAGCTTTGGTGTAACCTGGACGAGCAGGACTAGCAGTGCTGATGTCAAGAATGGAACAAACACCAGATATACACTATAAACATTAGTTTATTACACTTTTATACATATTTTTACTTATAATACAACTTTCTCATATCTTTTATACACATACACGGTTATACATGTATATTGCACAAAAATACCAAGCATAGGGTATTGTACAGTTCTATACAGTTTAGTCGTTCCTATACGTAAGTGGTCCGTTACCTACAAGCTGGAAAAACATCCCAGTCAGATAATTGCCCTTATATTATGTCACACAAACAAACCAAACCCACTCAGGACTGCTTAAGGAGTCTCCACACTTTCAAAATTAACCAGCAAAATTCGTTGAAACTTTCATTTAATGGTTATGCAACTATATAGAGTTGATTTTTGTAAGGCATTGTTCGGAACAATAACAACAATAAAAAGTAAAAAGAAGCAAAGTATTTTTATTGAAATTGTACGGAAAGTGATTATTTCGAGCTATAATGCAAACAGGACACAGAGATTCATACATAAGAGTGGGAAACTTTGATCCTGGTAAAAGTTGTCTTCATTGATCAAAATCGATACTTTTTCCGGAAGTACGTCACGAAAATGGACACTGATGAAGATATGTGGAGCCACATTAACGATGCCCTCAGATCACAGGACTGCATACAGTTGCCCAGTCTGTATATTTGTTCACACTGGACGTCTAGAGTAATCTATCTGATTATGAATCTGCCCACACAGACATTATCCGTCAATACCCACAGGACTTCAGTAGAATCGTTGACATATCATCTATAGTTTCCCACACAGAACTGGTCGCTATGCTAAGTCGTCACCAATGACTTTCTACCCTCACACCAACATGCGCTAGAGCCCTAACGATATCAATAGCTACATATTTGTAAATCTAACTATCGTACTATAATTATGGTTTACCCATTGCATAGTTACAAACCATATCCATGGATGATATATGTTTACATCAAATTTCCATCATCAATCTATTATTGTTACAATTTGAAAGTTAGGTACTACTCACAAGAAGTAATATAATATGTACTGAGTTTATACTCATTAAACTTGCTAAATTAATTACACACGTTATTATTTAAGGTAAATTCAACACTTTCAACACTCTGTATCAAACCTTTACATGTAATTCATTTATACATTAGCGATATATACGTTGTATTCAACAGTATGAAATGTACCCATCGGTCTATACTATGATATTCATGTATACGCTTTAAATACAAACGCAACAGATTTCATGGCATATAATTCAACATATGGCATATTGGAATGCTATTGCACTTACCGCAAACTGTATTTTGCGTTTGAATACCAATTGCAAGCCGCTAGACATTTGTACGTCACGACACCGCTAAGCTCTGTGTTTACATACTTCTGTTGATCCCAGACCCGGACAAACCGTAATTATTCTAAATACAATAAACAATTAAAAAACAAAATGTAGTACAAAATAGAACTAGATTATATAATTACTATATATTGAATATATACTGAATCTTTAGAAAATGTGGTTGATACTGTTAGCATATACTGTGTATATACAAAATATGGTTGGGACTGTGACACTGGGGTTAGAAAGTTACAAATCTTACCCTGAGCCTCGGGTTGGACATTTTAGAATCTTACCCCGAGGGTTGAGATTCTTTATGTCTTACTCCTAAAGCGAGGAATGATAATTTTCCTCGCGCATAAAACTCTAACTTGTTTGTTGCTTTTAATGTAAAATTTCATTATTTTCAGCAAATGTAAGTTATCTTCTGTGAACTAATCATGTTGAGATGAAATCAATGCATCGTTGAAGTGACGCCCTACAATTGTTATGATAGGGGAATCCCCCGTCTTTACCTATAGCTCAGACAGAAACATCTTTCCCTGCTCAAAGTTTGAATAGCTCTGTCTAATGGGGAAGAAAATGTCATCTATCATGTCTGTCGTCGTGCGGCGTGCATAATGCGTCATTCGTTGTGTGTTAGCAATTAACATTTAGGACTCTTTCTTCAGAAAAACTTAACTGTTTAACATCACACAGAGTACCAATGTTCCAAATGATGTCCCAACGAATTTGTTTTGGTTCAAATCCGAAAATCGAATACGGTAATCATTGCTTCTGATTGGCTGAGACATTTTCAATGTCATCTCAAGATTGGCTAAAGCGATTGACTTCATTTGGTAAAACTGTTCCCTATGAGTTTTCTAACAAGTATTTTGACTTTTGGTACATTATCTGTACCGATATGAAAATCAAGTATTGCTGCTCTCTAATATGATTTACTAAGACATATTTACTGCTGTACAGCTGCACCATTTTACATTATAAACGCACGATGATATATTGTAATAGTTCAATCAATTGTTGAGAAGATGTCGAAACTATTTTTTTATTACGTATATTTAATAGAAATAATATTAATGATAACCATTCTACATTTTATGAACCTAGAAAAGTTAGAAACATTTACTTGTTTTCTAAGTTGTTTGTAGGCTCTATAGTAAAGGCATATTCATTTTAAGATACTACACGAAGTGTCAAGAACGAGTATTTGGCCATGCTAGGAACAATGCATAACAAAATTAATAGATATATTAATATTATCATTGACATGTATCATTTTGTGAGTGCTGAATAACTGAAAAAAAGGTTTATAATTTTAACATTTCTCAAAAGATATGTATATATATATAGTTTACTGTCTCAAAGTCTCATACCAGATTCCCTTTTTATAAAAAACATCACGGTTTTGAGACTTTCAAAATATATTTTAATAGTGAATTATAAATTGGTAAATTATTTAAATATCTGCAAGCCCAAGTTGAATACAACCTATCTCGTTTTTTTCCATAGATAACCTGACTCGACTTGTTGGTGGTTCTAACTGGTACGAGGGCCGACTAGAGATTTATCAAGATGGTCAATGGGGCTCTGTCTGTATTCAACAATGGGACAAATTTGTGTTAAACGCCCACGTAGCTTGCAGACAACTCGGTTTCACGTAAGCTGGTTTAAACATTGGCAGACTGCATAGTTGTTTATTCACCTAGTGTGTTATAGCACATAACAATAATTGCTAATCAAAACGCTATTTGTAGATAGTTACCATTTTCTATTTCATTTTCAATCAACGTGTTTTTTTTTCAATAATCGGAACTTGTGAAGTCAATTCTGATCGTATTGACGTGATGTAAAAACATAAAGTCCGTCATTGAAGGACCGTCATACAACATGGTGGTGTAAGTTGATAGTTCAATACAGCCAAACTATGTAGAAACAAAACACAAAACCATATTTTAAATGTCATATTCAATTTTTGTTGATGAATTCATAAGATATCAAATTTTCTGATGCGTCATCGCGGAGGAATAATGACTAGACGCGATGCACATGCTCAGCTGCGAGCCTACGGCAGCGCAGTCATCGTTTTACTAGCGCAAAGTGGAGAGCCGCTAATTATATAAACTTCAAGGTTTTACATCTTCTGGAATGTTAAGCTGCAGTTATTGAATGACGACTTAGACAGGAAACCAGACGTGGCTTGAAAGGACGAAATATTTTTTATGACATAAGACGGGACCACAGGGGTTCGTTACAAATGTCTGAAACTTGATATACATGCTATACTGATATGGGTCACAGCACACATAACCATACATTTGTATGTGTATGTTTATGTGTGCTGTGACCCATATCAGTTATAGCATGATATATGTATTTCAGACATTTGTAACGAACCCCTGTGGATCTACGTTGTTTTCGGTTTGTACCGGGGGTTACCTAACTACACAATGCAGAATGGGTAGCTGGAGGGACAATTTTTAGGGCAGTACCTGACTTGTCACTATACCG